CTGTTGACTGGTAAATATCAATACTATTATTTTTTATGACAGTAAGAAGAAATAATAAATATACTTTATTACTAGTTGAAGTCATCATTTGTCAACCTGTGCCATTCCACATTATTACAAATAACTTCATTTCTGGACATTTATGGTTTGATTTCTTTGTATGTATGGATCACTTGGGTTGTTACCGACATCTGGTGAAAATTTCATGTCATTAGCACCTCTAGTAATATATTTACTTAGAAAAATGTTGACATGTTCAATACTTATTTTACCCGTTGTAAGTGTGAAATGATGACTTGTTATATATATATATTTTTTTTACATGTTTCAGGGGATTCAACATGTGGGCAGAGAGCCATTTATCACAGTTTGGGTCTGACCGGCATCCCCATCATCAACGTGAACAACAACTGCTCCACGGGCTCCACTGCTCTCTTTATGTGCCGTCAGCTGATCCAGGGAGGTGGGTCCACCAGGACTGTTTAAAATATAAAAAAGCTAAATAAAAATAATGCTTTATTATTCAGGTCTGCTATGACTACATTTTAAATATAAAACCCATTTGTGAGCATGTCTTGTTGTTCTGCAGGTCTTGCTGATTGTGTTCTCGCTCTTGGCTTTGAAAGGATGGAACGAGGCTCTTTGTCCGCTAAGGTGCTTTTTCTTTATGCTTTCTTGGAATTAACGCAACATCTTGGTAAATTGTCAAACTGCGTACGGTTCACTCTTTGGTTTTTCTGTTTCAAAATGTAAAATCGAACTAATGAAAACAGTTTTTGATTTTGCTTCATCCATCTAAATCCAAAATCCAAAATCCACAGTAGAGATCGACCGATACAGGTTGTTGAAGACCGATACCGATTTTTTTTTTACATCAGTCTAACCGATACGCCGATACATGCAGCCGAAATTTTTTGGCCGATTCTTGAAGCCGATACTGCCTTTCCTTTCTCCATGACAACATGATAAAAATTAGAATGATAACAAATGTTACACAAGTCTTAATTTAAAACAAAACAAACAAAAACATTTATTAAGTGAGCCTCGTCTGATGCAGGCTGTATGAAGTGCTGCCACACAGGATTTCTTCTTTCTGCCCTTTCTAAAAAATAAATAAATTCATGATTTATTTTATCTAGTGCTAAACATTTTGTTTTTTTTGTATATTAATCAGATTCATATATTTTTTACATAAAATAAAATGACTATGTTTTAATATCCCAGCATTTTTGATGCAAAAACAGCAACACGCCTGAAGAGGAACACAGAGAAAAAAGGAGAGACACACACATACATACATCTTGCTATCTTTGTGAGGACTTCACACACACACACACATGCAGCGCCTCACAGTCTGCCTCAGTCTGTGCCCGTTTTTTATGCCAGGCAAAAAAATACATTTAAACCAGCTGACGCTAACTTTAGATCACAGTTTGAAATGTGCACCGAAGAAAACCTGCATCACGACTTTTAGACTGCGGGCAGAACAAACTTAATCTGTCAGCGGAGTCAGCCTGGTTCACATGTTTACGTGGACGCTGTGCTCGCTCTTATGAACGGAACAGCGAGAAATTACCGAAAGCTTTTTTATGTTAATCCAGCAGGGAGAACAACAGAGGTGTTCTTCTATGCCTCCTGTGAGCAGCTCCAGCATTTTTTAAAAGAAAAACAACGCGGACACGCTGATTACAGTGCGGCTTCAAAGTGAAACTAAAAACATGGCGCTCCCGTCCGGAAAAGAAACTTAAAGGGGACCTATTATGCAAAATTCACGTTTTAAAGGTTTTTTTACTCAACTTTGGGTATGTACTTCTTAAAAAAACAGTTCTAGGACCAAAAAAATGCACCCAGGGGTATATTTACTGTAAGTAAATGTATTTTTAATGTATATTAACGACAAGTTTTATACTTCCATTATTTTGTGATGTCACAAGCCGTACAACAATCCACCGGAACCTGTGTTCAGCCCCTTACCTAGCAACCCCCGGGTGAAGCTCCACCTCAGTATAAAAAGCCGTTACGGTGTTGTTGTGCAATGTGTAGCTCATTTCACAACAAGCCTCCAATAGGGCAATGGTTAGAGTGTTGTACCAGAGAGTGGGAGACCAGGGTTTGAGACCAACACGGACACTATTTATTTATTTATTTTCGTTCGTTATGAACACATTTTCTCATGTACCTCTATTGTTTAGCTTATTAAAGCCTTGTTAAAGCCTATTTGTTCGTTTCTGAGGTATTTTGACCGCTTCTGCTCCCTGCTCTGGTAACAGCATGCAGAGTGAGCGCAGAGCAGAGGAGGGAGAGAAAAACCACGACTACAACCACGACTCTGCCTCTGGGTCTCATATGGTTGTACAACGGAGCTTCTACTATTATTAGCCATGCTAACGTAAACGCTGGCTTTGGAGGGTGGAGTTAATGTCAACAGATTTTTGGAGGGCGTTACCAACAGAGCTCATTAACATAAACAGCTCTTCTGAACGGAAGTCAGAGCAGGCAGAACTAGAAAATGGGACATTTTGTTATCTGAGAATTATTTTGTGTGTTAAATTGAATGAACATGGTTTGGATAGCCCACAGACATCCCATAAACATTTCTAGGACCCATAATTGGTCTCCTTTAAACACAGCTGTTCTCTCTCCCCTCATATTCTGACACAGCTGGTAGAAACAGCTAAATTACACAGTTGAAACACATGTATAGTTCATAACTCACCCTTATTGTTGTTAGCACTCTGTCTCACAACATTAGCAGCCACTCTCTCCCCGAGGGATGGGGGCGGCAACATGTGCTCGTGTGACCCAAAGAATGGATTGGCCGAATGGACGAACGTATCGGCCGATATGATACAAGGGAAAAAAACGCAAATATCGGCCAAAAATATTGGCCGGCTGATGTATCGGTCGACCCCTAATCCACAGTTACTGTTTTAATATGTGGCGATGACAGAAATCACCAAAGAAAAAGATTTTAGTGAATTGAGACCCTGCGTCCTCATATATGAGTAGTGCCTCATGATTTTAGGACCTTGATGATATTATTGTTGAATATTGTGAAGACAATACCACTTGTGAGGAACTCACATCTGATTTCTGTTGTGCTCACTGTTGTGTGGCTTTGTTCTTCCTTTCCTTCCTTCCTGTTTAAATTTTAATGTTTGTGTATCTTCAGTTCACGGACCGGGTCAACCCGGTGGACAAACACATGGAAGTGATGGTCAACCGCCACGGGTGGGCAGCTGCACCTCCAGCCCCTCAGATGTTTGGCAATGCTGGCAGGGAGCACATGGAGAAATACGGTAATCCATCAATCTGTTCAACGACAATCAATTATGGATTCACCAATCACATTTGTTGAAAATTTAAAATAAAAGCTTGGATTTTCTTGGAGCTTGTTAACAATTGCTTTTCATGTCGTAGTTTTTTTTTCTCTCTCAAGCATATTGTTATTGAATGATCACATAAGTGCATTAACAGCTGTGGATGTAAAGTAAGTTAATGTTCCTAAATCCTTAGACTTGGAAGTGTCTGTATTCCACAATTGTCTATGTGGTTAATTTACTAAACAAAAAACACACAAAACCAGGGTTCGACAAATCCTATTGCCCGACTGCCCGGGGCAGGTAAAACTCATAGTCGGGCAGGTGGGTGTGTCCCGATGCCTGCCCGACCGGGCAGGTAAACCATTACTTTTATTTTTTTATAGGGCCATTTATTCAAAATATTCTGAAAATAAATGAAATATAGCGTTTTAAAACACGTATAGAGAGAATAAATCCTCAAAAAATCCCACTCCCCTGTAGAAAAGTTATGTCATGTTGCGGGATCATAGCGCAGCTTTAACAACCGTAGTTTTTTCACACCCATGTTGTCGGAGAAAAAAATAGTTTTTTATGTATTGTTACCCACAGAGATGATAAAAAGATGTGGACGTTCGTTCAGTCATAAATCCTTCTTGCTAATGTTGGCTGCTCTGAGCGCAGAGCAGCAGAGGTTCAGTTCAACAGGCTCACTGTATGGCAGGCCAATATTGCGTTTATTTGGCTTCACCACTCTTACATTTCAGCTATCTGAAAATGTTTTATGACTAAATTAGACATTAGTTATTTAGGATAAAATAGTAAAATGTTTTTGTTTAAGTTTGTTTTGTTTTATTTACTTATATTTTAAACTTGGAGATCTTTCCAGCTTGAGCTTGTTTGTTTGTTGAAGTTGATTTTTGAAAATAAGGGACACAAGAGTTTTTTCTTCACTCTGTCTGCACCCTTTTATTTCAGAATAGAATTTACTTTTTTAATGCTGTACATATTGTTTTGTTCTTATGAAAAAAATAGACATCTCTTAATATATTTTGACAATTCAAATACCCATTTAAGATATCTCTAATTATATTCTGACTAGTATAAATAACATCAGATTTATCATAAAGTATTAGTGAGGCTCCAATTCAAGATATCTTAAATGTATCTTTAGATATGAGAACTTTTTCATGTTCTGTAAATTGTATTTAAAACAAAGCTGCTGCTGTTGATCATTCTGTTTTATAAGCTGCCCTCCCAGGTCCAGTACTCTAGGGGAAACACTGGAAAGGTCAAAAAAGAGGTTTTTGAAGATGTTTTTGATAAAAACAATTGACTGACTGACTCAGTCTGCAATGTTTGCGTCTGCTAAATCAGATGTCATATATTATGTACCTCTGTATAACCATGCTAATGTTTTTGTAGTACAAATACGGTACATGTTTTTCTCATATTTTATCAAATTTTGAACATTTTTGTTTCGGCCAGGTAACCTTTAATGTCGGACAGGTAAAAAGAAAAAAAATCTTGTCGAACCCTGATCAAATCCACCCTTCTGATCCTAGAAGAGAGATAAAAAAAAAACAGGCTAGATGAAAATATGTAACAGTTGAAAAATGACGTACACTGAAGTGCTCATCAAATCTCTAACAAATAGGCAATTTTACACATTAAATTTGAGAAAAATAGGGAATTTTCTCCACCCGATGCTGACCTGGAAGCCTTTTTAAATTTTTTTTTTTACAAGAAATCACCAAAGCAAAACGTGATTTAAACACGATAAAAATAAAAAGGAAACTAGACATGGGTTTTTACGATGTAAAAACAAGTGTGCATTGCCATGTAGCATGTCATTGAAGCATGGCTTTGCCTGCAGCAGTGGACTTGCAGAATGAACTTTGACCAAGTTCAAATGTGTTTTCTAATTATCAGTCAAACACCTGCCAAGTCAGCAGGTGTTTGTAATTAGGGTAATTGTGTGACAATATAACAAACTGAAATTATGTAGTTTTACTGAAGCAGTTTGTTTATAGCTGGGATTGAACCCTGATATCCTGAATGAAATCCCACAGTGTTCACCATGAGACTATAGGAGCTATGGTAGAAGACAATCCCAGGGCTTGGATTGTATGTATGTAGAAAGAGTTTACCTTGCCAATACAATTATTGACACTAAACAGCATAATATTACAAAAATAGAGCAGTATTAAGACAATATTATAGTAAAACATCAAAATACAATCATATTAGTACTGTAAACACTGAACTACTGAGTTGAAATATTAACTTATGGTGCAGTACCAAGTTGAGTACAGCAGGGGGCAGTATTGGACCAATAAAAGGCTCCATTGACTGTCATTATAATTCATTAAAGATTAATATTTCATAAACTATAAGTTTTACAGGCACCAAAAGGCATAGCCATCATTTGGCACAGGTGCTTTACAGATATAAATTACAATGACAGCTCTAGGACAAAGAATGCAGGAGGAGAAGCATGCCAAATTTGAGATGACTTGGCTGGGAAATGAATCACAATATTGTGCATTGCATTGGCAATGCACACTGATAAGTCACTTTCTACTGTATGACACAGTGACTGAGGTCAATTTCTGTGGCTTTTGATGATCAAAACAATAAGTTTTAAACTGTTCCCATACCTAGTGAACTTCTTTCTAAAAATCATTGACTGTACGGGTGATGGGACAGTAAAGTTGGGCAATATTGGCAAAATAATTAATCACGATTAATTGTGGTATTTATCCAATAACGATTAATTTGACGATTGGAGTCCCTGGACCCCCTTATGTCCTAGTCACATGACCAATTTAGTGGGAAAGATTCGCTCTTTGTAAAAATCTGTTCCAAATTGTGTCATAATTACAGACTTCAGGCTATACATCAGTCTTTAAACTGTGTTGATAGATAAATAAATTACAGAACTTTTTTTTAATGTCCGTCATATTTGAATCGGAGAGGAGCACCAAGCGGACTCTGCCTGGTGGAATTAATCATATTAATTGTCAAGTGCCAAAAAATAATCGATCAATGTTTTTCTGATACGATATGATTATGCCCAACCCTACGGGACAGTGGACATCTTTAATTTTACATTTCTGTCCAAGAAGTAACCAAAGAACATCACCCAACTCTTATTTTCCTCACCCACCACACATACTGACAGTGTCAGATAATAAATTGTGGTTAAATATTAGGAAAGTAATAATGTAAAAAAACAACTGTTTCTGGGTCAATTTCCAGCTCCTTCTGTGGAATCTTAGGGTTCTGAGAGGATATACACTCACCGGCCACTTTATTAGGTACACCTGTCCAACTGCTCGTTAACACTTAATTTCTAATCAGCCAATCACATGGCGGCAACTCAGTGCATTTAGGCATGTAGACATGGTCAAGACAATCTCCTGCAGTTCAAACCGAGCATCAGTATGGGGAAGAAAGGTGATTTGAGTGCCTTTGAACGTGGCATGGTTGTTGGTGCCAGAAGGGCTGGTCTGAGTATTTCAGAAACTGCTGATCTACTGGGATTTTCACGCACAACCATCTCTAGGGTTTACAGAGAATGGTCCGAAAAAGAAAAAACATCCAGTGAGCGGCAGTCCTGTGGACGGAAATGCCTTGTTGATGCCAGAGGTCAGAGGAGAATGGGCAGACTGGTTCGAGCTGATAGAAAGGCAACAGTGACTCAAATAACCACCCGTTACAACCAAGGTAGGCAGAAGAGCATCTCTGAACACACAGTACGTCGAACTTTGAGGCAGATGGGCTTCAGCAGCAGAAGACCACACCGGGTGCCACTCCTTTCAGCTAAGAACAGGAAACTGAGGCTACAATTTGCACAAGCTCATCGAAATTGGACAAGAGAAGATTGGAAAAACGTTGCCTGGTCTGATGAGTCTCGATTTCTGCTGCGACATTCGGATGGTAGGGTCAGAATTTGGCGTCAACAACATGAAAGCAGGATCCATCCTGCCTTGTATCAACGGTTCAGGCTGGTGGTGGTGGTGTCATGGTGTGGGGAATCTTTTCTTGGCACTCTTTGGGCCCCTTGGTACCAATTGAGCATCGTTGCAACGCCACAGCCTACCTGAGTATTGTTGCTGACCATGTCCATCCCTTTATGACCACAATGTACCCAACATCTGATGGCTACTTTCAGCAGGATAATGCCCCATGTCATAAAGCTGGAATCATCTCAGACTGGTTTCTTGAACATGACAATGAGTTCACTGTACTCAAATGGCCTCCACAGTCACCAGATCTCAATCCAATAGAGCATCTTTGGGATGTGGTGGAACGGGAGATTCRCATCATGGATGTGCAGCCGACAAATCTGCGGCAACTGTGTGATGCCATCATGTCAATATGGACCAAAATCTCTGAGGAATGCTTCCAGCACCTTGTTGAATCTATGCCACGAAGAATTGAGGCAGTTCTGAAGGCGAAAGGGGGTCCAACCCGTTACTAGCGTGGTGTACCTAATAAAGTGGCTGGTGAGTGTATAATCCCTCCAGTGAGTTCTAGGTCTGTCCCGGGGCTTCTTCCCAGTGGGACGTGCCTGGAACACCTCTGAAGGGAGGCATCTAAATCAGATGAACCTCCTCAACTGACTTCTTTTGACGTAAAGGAGCAGCAGCTCTACTCTGAACTCCTCCCCAGATGACGGAGCTCCTCACCTCGTCTCTAGAACTGAGTCAGACCACCCCACGAAGGAAGCTCTTTTTGGATTTTCGTTTATTTTCATGATCCAAAATGACCACAGGTGATGGTTGTGACAAAGATGAACCAGTAAATCAAGAGCTTTGCCTTTTGACTCAACTGTCTTCACCAGAACTGACTGGAGCCACGCCCTCATTAGTGAGGAGGCGGCACAGATCCATCGATTCACCGCTCGCTCTATCCTACATCACTCAGAAAGGAGACGCCCAGATACTTGTACTCCCCTAAAACAGTGTTCTTATTTTAACAGGACGATTCCTAGAGATTTATTGGCTTTAAACTCAGAACAGTGGGAGGAAAGAAAAGCTTACAAAAAGAAAAGAAAACAAACACAAAAAGCTAACAAAAACAAAAAATACTTTGTAAGATGACTTAAAAACACAATTAGGTGTGGCTGGTTGACCATGTCTCGAATCGTGGGTTGCAGATGACGTCAGCCACATTTGTTGGCGGTTACATTACTGCAGTAATGTAAGCCGCAACGTAACAAAACCATAACAAAACCTCAAAAACATAGGCTGCATCCTACGCAGCCGATGGTATCCCAGAATTCATTGTGCCCTGAGCAAATTAAACATTAAACTTTTTTTTAATGGCGGAGTTTGGAAATTTATCACAGCCTGAAGAATGTGTTTGTAAATGTATGCTTAGCAGCTTAGCTGATGACATTTTTACTGTTACATAAAATGCAGTTACAAGCACTGATACTGGAGCTAAACCCAAGTTATTAATGCTTTTTATTTATTTACTTGTAACGTTTTTCTATTAAAACTGAATTTTATGAAGTTATACCTTGACAAAGTAACTGAAGGCAAAAAAACACCTTCTGTAGACAAGACCTCTCATTTCACAGCCGTTCATGCAGCCGGCAGGAGCAGCCTAATGCCCACAAAGACTGTGGACAATTGAGACACAAATTAATTTCTAATGTATTACATATTACGTTCTAAAACGAAATACTCAATACATGTTTTTCTGGCCTTTTAGCTTTTTAAACACAAAAATATGTTTTTGTGGAAATGGTAATTTTCGTGTCTTTACATATTTTTCAGGCACCAAACTAGAACACTTTGCCAAGATTGCCTGGAAGAACCACAAGCATTCCATGAATAACCCGTAAGTGTCAGCGAGGCCTCAAAATGAGCTGAATTTTTCTTTTTGTTTGTAAATTTATTTGCCCAGACTGCAGAGCTGATTGGTCTGAGATGGACACAGTATGTAACACTTTGACTGGAGCTCTTTAAGTCTCAAATATTTTAGCTTTTTTTAGTTAGATTTGTGAGTTTTTATAATGAAAGTTTAGAGAATTGTGTGTGTAAACATCAGATATGATCGGTTGACCTTCTTCCTGCTGGACAAGATGTGTTGGAGTGTTATCTTCGATGCGACTGTGATAGACTCTTTCCTGAAGCTGCTGGCAGCAATGTGCCTGTAAACAGCCTGGGACCTGGCTGAAAACATTAACATGTTGAGGAGGAGATGCTGTACAGGAAGTTTTATTAAAAGCAATGTTTGATCCACAAAGTCATCCTTCTTGAACCCCATTTTATTCTGAAAAGAAGTGAAGCACAAAAGTAACAATCTGAGGAGGAAATATTCTCTAGAGAGGCCAAAAGCACTGTCACAAGAATATAAGGTTTAAAACCTTGTGTTTTAGTTACACAGCCACAACAAGCTGCGCACAGCGACATGCCACATCAATAAAAAGAAGTGGGCATGACCCGACACGTCAGCTTGCACTGACACAATGAGCCCGACAAATATGTTAATGAATTTCCAGGACAAACAAGCCTACAACTAGGGATGGGTACATTTAGACATTTGAATCGATTCGGTACCAATATCCGGTACCTGAAAATCGGTACCAGCGGTACCAATTTTTGATACTTTGTGTGTGTTGTTTTTTAATAATAAACTATTTTTTTTATGTAACATATTTATTTCTCAATATTCAAGGATTCAAGGTAGTCTTATTGTCATTCGCAACACATATACATGCGGTGGAACGAAATTTCTTACCCAAGGTCCCGGTCTATCCAGAAATATAGAAGAAAGAGAAAAACAAATAAATATACTTAAAAAAGATAAAAATAAAAAATCAAATATAAATTTTGTGCAACAATGCCAAAATTGCAAATACACTTAACACTGAATATATAAAATTTAACAAATATCAAGACAACATCCAACTCTTTGTATTGTAACATTAGTTGTGTAACTTATTTCTTTAAGGTGAAAACTGTTGAAAACAACAAGACTGTTTAGTCTTCTTGCACAAATTAAAATCCAGCTCCACGTGTTTCTATTGATGTCATTTCCCCGCTAGAAAATTATGTGATGGAGGTCCATGGAAGGCAAATAAGTTTAAATCAAATAAGTAAAAGAGGATGGAGTTAAAAATAAATAAAAGCTGTTCAAGGTACGTTTTGAGCATCCAAAACACTCCAGCACTTCAAGCTGGCTGCTTGTGCTCCTTCAGGTCAGATGTGTTCAGACTGTCAGGAAGCTCCTCTGTTGTTTTTCTCTGTCGGTCTGTTTAATGGTGGATGAAATAAAGAAAGTGGCGGTACTTTATTTACTTTGAGCAAGCGAACGTCGTGTTCACAAGATAATTAATCCGCCAGATAATTAATCCACCAGATAATTAATCCACCAGATAATTAATCCACCAGATAATTCAGAGGTGGTCTGTTCGGTGAGTTCGGTGAGGCTCGCTTTCAAGCTACGTTCAGACTGAACTCTGTTTACTGAACCAGCAGCTGCTGACGTCATTACGCTCTTGCGCGATGCTGCGTACATGACGCATGGAAAATTTCCCACTCATACACCAATACGGTCACAATGATGCGTTTAGGTACCGAAACATGGTACCGTTTGATGTTACGTGAATAGGTTCTTGGTAGTACCGACAGAATTCAATCTGTACTTATAAAAGTATCAAATTTTGTACCCATCCCTACCTACAACTGTTAAATACTGCAGAGATAATGATCCAAATGTTATTTTTTTTAGGACGAGCCCCCAATATGTTACAGTCCATGTGTCTATGCTTACTCAAGACACCTATGATATAGCCGGGTAAAAACCAGACCCTTGTCCTTCACTTTGCTTCATACAGAGGGTCTGGACTCTCTGCTATTGAGAAACAATTTCTTGCTGGAGGCGTGGCCTCTGCTGAAGTGTGTGTATGTGTGTGTGTGTGTGTGTGTGTGTCGTGAAGGAGGCTAAGCTAAGAAGCTAACCGGAAATCGCGAGCGCTGTAAACAACCCTACTGAGAGGAGAAAAGTAACGAGCAGAACGAGACGGCTGTAAATGAGAGCTGCTACTTTGTCAGTCAAATTTAATTTAATTTGGAAGCCTTATCAATACAGACTGGCTTCATTCACTTCCTCCACTGCCGTATGCTAAAATAACTAGCAGACACTGCGCAGAACATCGACGTCGTTCAAAACTCCTCCTTCTGTTCTTTGATTGGCCCAGGTAAAATAAACTACAAGCAGACACTGCGCAGAAAATTGACGTTCTCTTCTCTGATTGGCCTGGCTAAAAATTTGCCAACGAAATCCTTGTCTATGGGAGAAATCCCAGACTGAGCAGTGAAGGGAAACTTGAATTGAGCGGAACTGCCCAGGAAGGCAAGGACCAGGCTACCTATGATATAGAATCCAGACTGTTTTTAACATTTGAACAAGAGTTTTATTATTACGAACCAGTCTGAACAAAAGAGAGCAGGGAACTCCGGCCAAACAAACAAAAGAAAGGCGCTCCCTTCTTTTCTTTTGTTTGTTTGGCTGGCCCTGAACCAGCTAGCAGTTGACCATCAGATTCAGGAACTGCTCCCCCTTTCCCTGTGGTCCAGGATCTGACCCTGCAACCAAAAACCGAGAGAAAAAGGGACTGGTAACTCCCAGACTGACAACAGCTCAACACATCAAGTGACAGGTGTCAGATATGAGAGGAGCGGCAGCGAGACAGGACATCTGGGCCCACAACGCCAAGGTCTCCCTCGCTCACGGAGCAGGCGGGGCTTAGTCCTTTTAAACGTAGGTCAGCCAATCCGCTGTAAAGAGGAAACTCCGGTTAACTGGAGCCAGTTATGACACATGGACACGTCACATGAGGGTTAATTAAAGTAAAGTCAAATGTATTGTTGTAAAATGAAATAATAAATAATTTATTATACCTCTGTAATATTTGTTACCTTTGAACTAGTCCTATCTAAGCCTATTAGTTTTTTAAGCCCCATTTGAAATGTCTGTGCAATCTTTATAAACCTAACCTTGTGTAGATATACAAATGGAAAATAAAATCTCTTAAATCTTAACTCGTATTTCGGACCATATCTGTCCATATTTCCTGCAGATATTCCCAGTTCCAGGATGAGTACAGCTTGGAGCAGGTGATGAACTCCAAGAAGGTGTTTGACTTTCTTACTCTGCTGCAGTGCTGGTAAGAGTTACACACCTTCACAGTCACTGGTGTCTTTTGAAAATCAAAATGTGAACAGAACTGATGCATAGAGACTAACCAGTGGTGGTTGTTCCTGCTTGATTCGTGTCGTTTTTTTATAAGCCCGACCTCAGACGGTGCTGGAGCAGCTGTTCTGGCCAGCGAGGCCTTTGTTAGGAAGCACCATCTTGAAAACCAGGCCGTGGAAATTGTGGCTCAAGAGATGGTGACCGACCTTGCGTCCACATTTAATGAAAACAGCACCATTAAAATGGTAAGATGTGAAATACTCTTTCTGAAATATCAGAATAGTTTTTATTGCCGTGTCCATTTGGATAAACAAGGAATTTGATTTGGATAAAGCCCATATTTCTGTTACTGGAAGGTTTGACGACCATAAATCAAGACCTGTTTCTATCCAGGTGGGATACGACATGACTCGGCTGGCAGCTGCCAAGTGCTTCGAGGCTACAGGTCTAAAGCCAAGTGACGTCGATGTTATTGAGCTGCACGACTGCTTCTCAGCCAATGAGCTCATCACGTATGAGGCGTTGGGTCTGTGTGAAGAAGGTAACTGAATTGAACTTATGTAGTACCTTTCTAACCAACCAGACTACTCAAAGCGCTTTACAAAGCAATCTGTGTCCTCATTTAACCATACATACACAGCACTACTACTGCATCTACTACTATTATGTAGAGTAAATTCGCACACTCTTTCTTTCTCCTTGAGACAAATTTGACAAAATGGCTTTACTCATCAGTTAACAATAAAAGTACTGGATCTTCCTTGAAGTCCTCCACTAACTGAAAATATAAACATCCACTCTGCAGACTGCACTGTCACTGTGTGAAAAACAACCACGTCAGTAAGATTGTGTCTTGTGAAGTACACTGCTTGGCCAAAAAAAGTTGCCACCTGGTTTTAACTAAGCAACAGCCATGTAGAAAGACACATCCTGTGGTCATGGAGAAGATGTCAGTCTGTTTGAGAAGGGTCAAATCATTGGCATCAAGCAGAGAAAACATCCAAGTAGATTGGACAAACTACTAAAATTAGGTTAAGTACTGTCCAACACAGTATTAAAAACTGGAAGGATAGTGGACCCATCATCTTCGAGGATGCACCCATCATAGTGTCTACTGTACCAGCCTGTGGAGGCAGGGCTGTAGTGTGGAGTTGCTGCAGTTGGTCAGGTCTAGGAAGCTTATCCAAACAGTCCCACAGTGAATGTGTGCCACAATCGAAGCTAAAGGCAGTCCAATGAAATATCACAGTGTGTGACTGGTTTATTTTTTTTTTTGGCCAGGCATTGTATAAACCAGGCTTTAGTAATGCATATGCTAATCCAACTTTGTGTTGTAATTGCAGGTAAAGCTGGAGAACTAATTGACAGAGGAGACAATACATACGGAGGAAAGTTTGTGGTCAACCCCAGTGGTGGTCTCATCTCTAAAGGACATCCACTTGGTGCCACAGGTACAGAGTCTGCTTTGTCAAGTATCAAGTTGTTGAAAATGTTTGAGCAGGGATCTTTCACAGTAATTTGGCCTATCTCAATAAATACAAATAGAGCTGGTGGATATGGCTGAAAAATGTATCAGGATAAAAGCATTTCTTATCAGTCAATATCTATATTTATTGATTACGGTAGATTTTTTTGTTTTGTCTATTTGAAATAAGCACCAGGAGAGTAAAGGCTGATTAATGCTTTTAAACTGGAGATGTGACCTTTCCTATTTTATCCACAATTTCTTCTCAAGCTGTTGCATCATTTTCTCCTTTCACTCCACATTCTTCATTTTTACCATACCAGCTTTATTTATAGAGCACTTCAAACACTCACACTTTAACTAGCTGCTTCAAATGGTAAAAACTTGATTTAACAACTGCTCTGATGTTTTCTAACTTTAGTCCAGCACCAGCTTTTAACACTAGGTTAGTAACAGTTGGCCTGATGTACTGTATCAATACCCAGGCCGCCCTTGCAGAAGAGATCTGTGATCTCAATGGGATTTTCCTGGTTAAATAATGGTAAACAAAAGAACCAACGTCTACATCAGGTGTCTCAGTGGAGCTTCCAAAGACCATCACCTCAGTTTTATTTACATTAAACTTTTAAAAATTCACAGTCGACCAGGCTTTCATTTCCTCCAGACATAAAAATAAAGGGCTCAGAGAGTTTTTGCCCTTGTTCTTTAGCGGGACATAAATCTGAGTATTATCAGTATAACAATAAAAGATCTCAATAGAGCCAAGAGGAAGCAGGTACAACTTGAAGAGGAGAGGACCTAAAACTGAGCCCTGTGGGATCCCACACAAGAGAGGAGCAGAAACAAAAGTTATGCTCGACTAGGACCTAAATCAGTCTAGAGCTGTTCCGCAGATGCCCCCCACTGCCCCAAACAATGAAATTAAATTCTTTTAATATTATTGTTTATTTTTTTATTTTTTTATTTTGAAGCAGCTAGGCGAAACATGAAACTGCTACATGTTACTCAACAGGTTGTTTCTAGCTGGGCCAAGAGTGAGGGGGTTAGTTGATGCTACCAACTTTTCTTAGCCGGGCTCTAAGATGTTGAGCAGCTAAAGCATTTCCTCTATTTCCTTCTATTGGACAAAATTTCCATTGATATTGATGTAGGGGGTGAGCTTAAGGTGAATAAGCTTTTCCCACATCTCTCATACTCAAGGTTATGAGGAAAATTCTTGCCAAGGTATTTCTCACTATTTGTTAATATCTTGACTGTGCGAAGTGAAAATTGACACAATAAGTAGAACGCTCAGACAAGTTCAAGTTGATTCATAATAACTATGCAATCATTTATTTACACAAATTGAACAGATCATAAGTTACACTTGATTGTGGGTGTTCCAATAACAAGCGTCAGAGTTAAATGGAATAAAACTTGCGTCTGACGTTCAGTCCACATTACTCAGATTACTTATATAGAACAGTAAAAACGTCAGTTCTGATGTTACACAACCAAACAATTTTACTGGCTCTTTAGCTTAAGTTTTGGCAAATCAAAGAAATAAGAAAGAGGAGAAAAGTAATGTTAGTATTTCTACTACTTTTACTTTTACCAAAGTGTGAGACAACCGGAACTGCACGTTTTTCTCGACTCAGGTCCACAATACACGTCACTCCAAACACGTTAGCTTTTACCTGATGATGGCTTCTTAAGACACCCTCAAAGTAGAAAAACTGGCTCGCCTTCTATCAGTCAGAGAACTGTTGTCGGCTCGCTTACCGGTCATTGGCGAACAGGTGTTATTTTCAGGTAACTTTGTGTCTGTTTCAGTCCAAGCCAGAAAAATTTAAGCCGTATCCGGTTTCTCCTTCATAATAAAACATCTCCCTCATCGGGAGGTATGAAACATACTTGGAGGCTTAAAGCCTCGGATTGGAACACCGACAGGCCTGTCGGGTCCCTGGCTTTAAAATCCTCCCTAATGGCTCGTGGGATGAGATCTTACAGCCCCAGGGCTGAGGTTTCTCTGGAGAGAATCACAGCCGGCTTCCTTGTTTTGAGTTAGGAAGTCAGAGTGTGCTCAAAGCCATCCGGGTTAGTAATAAAAACGGACAAACTTTGGTTCCGCCCTCAGTCTTGGAGGTGAGTCAGAGAAAGAGAGATAAAGACTTGCCAGCCAGGCGCCAGTCAAGGTTAAATTCTGTGGTTGTTCAACAACATCATGATAACCTCTTTAGCTTTCTTCTGATAGACTCTAAGAGAAATCACTGCAAAACTTTTATGGTGATTAACTATAACATTTCTGTTTATAATCAGCTTTGAACCATTCTGTCAGTACAAATAAATGAAAGATTTTCTCAAGAAAAATCCACAGTTATATTACTGTGTTCACAGTAAAATAAAACAGTGATTTACATAAAAACACAGTGAAACATTGTAATCAGATTCTCTGTGATTTTTTTGTACCATTATAAATCATTAAGGCACGGTAAGAGAAAAGAAGTGGTTCCACTTTCCTGTGACAGGCATTATCATGATTTAACAAATGCATAAACATTCTTAGTTAAACAACAAATGAATCACGAACAGAAGAGATTGTTCTGTCCATTATCTGATTAAGAGAACTGAGGGGTTCTCTTCCACGGTTAGAATGACCTGTCATGGCCTAAATAGAGTTCAGTTTGTGACAGAGGTCCTGTCCTCACGTCAGGCCCGTCCGAGGCCTGCTTAGAGGAAGAAAATCTTGTTTCTTCACTCGAAGTGACCCCTACATAGATCACGTGTGTATTGCGTTATATATTATTTAAAGGATCCTTGATTAGTTGTAACATTAGACTTTATTTGATAAACATTTATTTTAACTGTAAAATAAAGACTGTAAAAATACTGTAGCCTGTTCAGTTTTGTAAATTTTTAAAAATATATTTTAACACAGACGGAGCCATTTTATTTGCACGCAAAGCATTCTGGGTAAATGATGACGTGGACAGGTCCTCGATGTGAGCGAGCTATATCCACCCTGAAGGTTAATCTTGAACAATATCTGATGATCGTCTCTTTTAAATGAAACCAGAGAGCGTTGACTGTAGGGATGGGTACCGAATTCGATACTTTTTTAAGTACAGACCAAATTTTGTCTGTACTACCGAGAACTTATTCACGTAACATCAAACGGTACCATGTTTTGGTACCTAAACGCATCATTGTGACCATATTGGCATAAGAGTGGTGAGCACTTCATGGTCAGGCCCCCAAATACATCCTGGACCTTCTGAAGCCTCTCTGTCCATCCAGGACTCTGAGGTCTTCTAATCAAATGCTGCTGGTGGTCCCTCGAACCCATTATAAAACCCGTGGAGACAAAGCTTTTCAGGTGGTGGCCCCGAGGCTCTGGAACGCTCTCCCTCTGTCCCTTTGCTGCTCAGATTCTACTGATTCTTTTAAGAAACATCTGAAGACATTTTTATTCAGACAGGCTTTTAGTTAATGTGCTTTTTATTGTGTATTATTATTGGTTTTAACTGTTGTTTTTATATCTGTGATCTGTTTTATTGTTTTTAATTATTTTTATTTATTGCTTTCTGTGAAGCACTTTGTGATGTTTGTGTCTGTGAAAGGTGCTATACAAATAAAGTTTACTTACTTACTTACTTTTCCAAGCTTGTCCTGAACGCAGCATTGCGCAAGAGCGTAATGACGTCAGCAGCTGCTGGTTCAGTAAACAGAGCTCAGTTTGAACATAGCTTGAAAGCCTCGCAGCTCCTGGAGTAAAACTCTCCGAACAGACCACCTCTGAATTATCTGTTGGATTAATTATCTTGTGAGCATGACGTTCGCTTGCTCAAAGTAAATAAGTACCGCCACTTTCTTTATTTCATCCACCATTAAACAGAGACCGACAGAGGAAAACAACAGAGGAGCGCAGGTGCGGTGGACTTCAGACTCAGAGGATGTTTGTTTGTTCATTTTTAGTATTTAAATGAGACCAGGGGCGAGGTAATGTTTTCGGTCGCGCTGACCCACTCGCTTCCAGAGCGACGGTACCAGGAAGCACTTTATAAAGAGAGTCAAACCATTACAACCTCAGGTTGGCGATAAAACAGACGTTTTACATGGTGAAATGTGACTGATAAAAACTTAGGAGCTTAATCCGACACCAGTTTGACGATGAATAAGGTCGGGTGACGAATCTGACTTTCTTTTTTTTTTTTCCCCACATTGGACTCCACCGAGAAGAAATCCCGTGCATACTGCCTGCTTAAATGTTTGCTATGTCACAACTTATTCGGCAAATGTGTTTCCATCTCTGCTTTTGTGCATTCACTCTATTACAGGATGGGGGAAATTGGACTTGGCGGAGGTTTACGCATTCCGAGTGCTTCTAGTTTATTTTAACTCCATCCTCTTTTGCTTATTTGATTTAAACTTATTTGCCTTCCATGGACCTCCATCACACAATTTTTCTAGTGGAGGAATTGACATCAATAGAGAAATGTGGAGCTGGATTTTAATTTGTGCAATAAGAAAAAACACTACGTTAGTTGTTTTCAAGAGTTTTCACACACAAAAAAAGTTACACACACAAAGTACCGAAAATTGGTGCCGTTAAGTACCGATACCGATTCCCAGGTACAGGATATTAGCACTGAATCGATTCAAATGTCAAAGGTACCCATCCCTAGTTGACAGAGAGGAGAAGGTAGAAATGACTCAGCCTGTAACTGAAAATATAGATGGAGGACAACAGAGCTGCTT